GTTGTGTTTTACTGGTCCCTGTTGACAAACAGGTACACTTATAACAATTTTGTCTTTATTTGTAAGGCTCGTAATTTAAAATACATTTTGTAATTCTGTAAATGGTTATCCAACTTATACTTACATTTACCTTTCTTAAGAGAAAATTCTTCAAAAATGTATGTCCTTTTTGGAATATTTTAATATACCTTGTGTAAAAATTGGATTTGAATTGCAACATTTATACTGGAATCCGAAACCTCATAAAAATCATTTCAAACGAAGATTCATAGCGAGTTCTCCATTAAATGTTCAACCAAACCTCTCTCTTTTCTCCCTATTAAAAATAGGTGCGGATACTTAAAAAGTCCAAAGAGCTTTTTAAAAAATTGAAATCACAAAATTTTACTTAAATCAACAAGATAAAAACATACGACTTCACAATTTTATTAACAATCATTCTCCACGATTAATTAAACTACAGGCTTTTTGAAATCATTGTAAACTGCTTTTCCCATAAAAATGTAACTCTTAAATTTACTTCCCTTGTCATTCGCCATTTGCAAAAGAATTTTGTTAAAAACATTCTGATTGTATACACAAGTTGATATTAAAAAAATTGCTTGAGTTTCTGACTGACGATATCTATGTAGTTTTTGAAACTAGGACTTCCAACAAGCCATCGAATTCCCATGTGTACCAAATGCACTCTGTTATTAGCATACTTTTTATACCCCTCGCTTGAAAAGCGGGAGGGTATATAGTAATCGGTATGTCCGTCCGTCCGTCTGTTACGCTTTGGAGTACCCATCTTTTATCCGCAACTCCTCTCATGCCACTGAAGGAAATTTAATGAAACTTTCACAGAATCGTAATTACATATATTGCCATTGTGCACCTCCTATTTTACATTTTGATCCGACATATGTTTTTGGATTTTCCAGAGCAAAACATGGACCTGCCATTATATTCATATGGGAGGCGGGGGTATCATTTAGTGAGCTCATTGCTCACAGTATCTCTTGTTTAAATTCATCAGAATCAGTATTTGTTCAAAGACTTATACATGACGTTTTTTGAATTATTCGTTAGACCATTATTTCGACTGAATTTCGACTAATTTTCTCGTTATTTCCCGATCATGCCAAGGTGCACATGGCGGGTGTGACTGGTCGGTGGTGGATGCTCACTCCTCCATTGCACTTGGTTCAACCTCAAATGCTTTAGTGATTCGTGTTTGTTCTGCTCCTAATTTGTACTCTTTTGAGCTCGATGACTATTCTTTATTCTCATATCAAGACGATAAACGTGTAATTTAAACTTTTTATTTCTCATCTTCCTTTACGTATGTTGCAAGATAACATTAACCACTGCATTTAGAATTTATGTCTCTCGGTTGATTTGATAGGCGAGTATCGTGCTCACTTTTGTAAATTTATTTTTTATTCGATTATTTGAATCAAGTGAGTGGGATTCTGACATTTTGTAAAGGCTTTTGTCTAACACATTTTGTAATCTTATTCCTGACTAGTGTATTCTTAAAATCAACTCAATCCACTTTCGCAGTAGATCTGGGTATAAATTTTTACACAGGTTTGATTAGAATTACTTGTCCCGCCAGTCAATTTCAAGGTCACTAAACCTCGTGGTCGTGCAGTCCATATAGGTATTTGCTTTTGTAATACTTTTCTTTTTCATAACTATAACGTTGTTTTTCATTTTCTATTTATTTGACATTAAATTTTGTCTAAGGGGTAAAATAATGCCATTGTCGTTTGTTTGTTGTTAAAGGGACACAGTGACGCACAAAAGGGAAAATCGTATAGAATTTTTACATCACCCTTGTTTTTGTTCAATTCCTGAAAGTATTAAGTTTCAGAAAATTACAGGTTTCAGAACCTAAATATTCTACTTTTTTGGGAGAAAATATAAGTACAAATAATTTCAGTATGCCACAGCACGAAAATATTGGGTTTTTTCTTCCTCTCTGTTATACGTGTGCGCGGAAAAGTGAAGTTGAATAAGTTATCATGGTATCAAGTAACTAAGAATGAATGCAACTAGGCCAAGAATTTTTGATACAATATTTTTTAAAAAGTTGTTGGAACATATTAAATTTTTCACACTTGCATGATCCAGTTCAAAGTTGTTTACAAGTCTGAGCTAAATATAAAAGTGGCGTGACCTTGACATACACGAAAAGAACAAAACAGTGGATACAGCCTTTATTTTTTCCGTCACTTATATTGTGCAGTCTTTTTTGCATTACAGTGCAATTTAGTTGTCATATCTTCGCTATACTCCTAAAAATCAAAATTCTTTCGCTGTATGATACAGATATCCTAAAAGAAGCATATGATTTTGACTTATTATGTAACTCTATATAAAGATATAAACGTGATTCTGGTTTGTTCTTTTGCACGGTTACAACAAGGCAAGCTTTTAACAAATAGGTTGAAAAAGCAAGTAAATCATAGTCTTCTTTAAACCAACATTTCGCAAAGCACATGTATATGGTTGATACAATGACCTTGTCAGCAAATAAAATCTAAAATAAGTCAAATGTTGACAGATGTTTTCATACAAATCTTGAGGTATTTATTTACACACGAAGATTGTTTACGGATTTTTCTTCTCTTTGTCCGATCATGACAAACAGAACACAACAGGTGGTGACCTGTCGATTAAGCACATTTAAAATTAGCTTCTCTGCTTTTCTGTCATTTGTTACGTCGCTGTGAAGGATTTTAATTAGAATGAGTAATGACAGGAGATGCTTATTCCTCTATGGTCCCTGATCCCACATCTGATGTGGTGAACTGGTTTAAGATTTCTTTATGGCATTCACGTTTATTTTTCCTCTTTTATGTAATTGTTGCTTTGCATAAAATTTTTTTTAAAAATATCGGTATTAGATGTTTAGAATATTTATCAGAGGACCTTGACTGTTTGACACAATTTCAAAGAATGTGTGAAAAATGTGCATAAACTATCCTTTTATTCCAATTAAAACGTGAATTTATTGATTAGTAAACATAACTTTATATCCCATGGGTACCAATTACGATCCATTATTATCAGACCTTTTTTTACTCATATGCAGCAAAATTCATTTAAAACCACATACATGAAGAGAATAAAACATACTCTGTGACTTTCGCTTTAATATTTTGATAAATCGCAACGTAAAAGCAATTGGTCAATTTATCCCAGAGATTTTGAATGCTTAGATACCCAAACATCTGACATACATGTTTCATATTTGGATATTTTATTTTTAATTATAGGAATCAAACTCTAGGGTATCCTTATCTTTAAAATCTACGGGCTATATCAAATCAACGAATAATGAAAATTTTATTTTTTATAGATAAAATGTCATAACATGTATATCTACTCGTAAAGGTTAAAAACCACAGCAAAAAGCTAGAAAACACTTTATTAATAAATGATATACACATGTATTAAGTATTTTTCACATATGAGTATTTATTTTCATAGGTAACAATTTTTCACTGAAGAATTTAAAAACACGTTTTTCCCTGTAAAAGATGTAAGGCAGTTCCATTGATTGCCGTTCTAGGTAGCATTTGCTCCTATTATATCCATTCTGAAAACAGAACAAACGAATGAAAATAAAATCTCATGTGTCTTTTATTTCTAATTTTATTCATTAGTGATTAGAAAATTTTATCATACTAAAACTATTTTAGAAAATAAGTAGGAATATACGTACCATTAAAAAGTCATGAAAGCTGAGGAATAAGTAGGTCAACAAACTCACAGACGCACACCAAACATAAAGATAAGAATCGAGTAAGGCCAGACAAATATTATTTCCTGAACTATAAAGCAGTAGTTGTCATCTGGCAGGAAAGAAAACATTAATCACAAAAACATGTAGTAAATTAAAACATACATGAAAAAGGTAAAATAACTAGGATCAATTTTTTAAAAACTCTATTTGATATACAAGATTGATTTTAAAAAGTGTGCAAGATAAAAATTCAAATAAGAAGAATATACATGTACTTACCTTAAAGATTCCATCGAAGATATAATTCTACGATCGATCGTTCGCGATTCGCGAAAAAGTTAGAAAAGTTGCAATGCAATTGAAAGCAATAGAGAAGCAATAATACACAAATAAAACAATATTCAAATATTTTAAGTATTCAAATAAGCAGGTACATTATAATGAATATGAGCATTTTTAAAAATGCACTAGAAATTAAAAAAAAAACATTCAAGAAAAGTGAGAATGAAAAATTAAAAATTTTTATGTATTTTTTAAAAAATGGTTCTCGTATCTAATGCATATAAATCTTTTAGACACATTTTACATAAGACTTACTCGTGTTTTTGTCATGTCTGTAGAAATCAATACCAAGGGCTTATTTGAAGACATCATCAATAACGTTGTCCAATTCGCTGTAAAATAATTCATAATTGGTTTATTCGTAATTTTACTACTTTTTGAGAGAATATTAAGATTTATCAATAGCGTTGATATGGTATATTCTGCACATGCATTAAGATACGTGTGCTTGCAATGCCAAAAATTGCAATATACATGGTATATTTCAGGGAAAAAAGTTGTTAAAGTCTAAAATGAATAAAATGTGCCTTATTAAATCAAGCTTCTTGGAAATAAGGCACCAAAAAGGAGTTGGGCCCATTTGGGGAACATCTGTAACGGTTCCCGTTACAATTAGCCCTTGTTTTATTTGTGTTAGTGAAGAAATGAACCTTGCTTGTATCACTTGTTGATTGCACTGGTGTTGTTGTTGGTGTTGTTGATATTGTAACGGAGTTTTTGAGGAGGGTATGCTTGGTGTCTGAGGAACAGTGCTGTACTCTGTTTCATTGAATAAGTACCTTAATATACCCACTTCAAAGTAATTGTATTAAAAGTACGCAAGAGTATCAATATACGTGTAATTGATATTTTTCTTTATTTTCTTTATCTTTGATCTTCATATTCAGAAGAGTAATGGATTTTCATGTATTAATAAATCTACATTATGTACATCCTTGTCCAATGAGGGAGTCGCGTGATGCAGACCACGTGTACAGATTCCTGACATCCATTTGAGTGGAGGAATATATGCTGTTTGGTGCATTTGCTATATACAGTGGATATACCTGAGGTTGAGCGGGGTTTGGTAATTTGACTGAATGAGACATGAATACTTTTCCATCCAAATAAACTATAAATCTGTCTTTTTTGTTCCAAGAAACTTGGTAAACGTGCCATTCTCCAGCTTTAACATCCAGTTTATGTTTAGCAGTCCAGATAACATTATCTTTCTTTGTAGAACAATGAAGGTCACCGTGCCCGAGATAGACAGCCAGGCCACTTGCTCCAACTTGATCCCCTCCGCTGGAGAGTATGTATCGCTTGTCGGTGGAATTCATGTCCTTAAGTTTGATCTCAGCACTCAGTGTAAACCCATGATCACATTTCGTCATATCTTGGATACATTTTAGTCCGTAATTTGGCAGTTCCACATACTGACCATCTCTCTGGGGTTCGAGAATTATTGCTTTTCCATTTTGCTCAGACGTTAAACGGGGATTGCCATGGACAGTAAAATTGTATGAAGGCGTGATTAAGACGTTTCGTTCAATTTTATTGAAAGTGAAATCCAACGATTGTTGATCACAGGAAGCAATTGTAGTTTTGTCTATAGTCAATCAGATTGATATAACATATAATTTACACAACATTGCAAGCATGAATGTAAACTTATGGAATAGAAAGGAATTTAAATAAGTTATTAAATAAATTTCTGAGAGGAATCTTTAGTATATGAAAATGTTTTACCTGTAGAGCCGACCATGTTTCCAGCAGCTTGGGTTGTCAATGTAGACAGAAATGCTGTAACATAAAAATGTGAATGTGCGTTTGTTTTGGATGTATAGACGTTTTAGGCACTAAATATCATAGATGGTGAAAAATTTAAGTTTCAGTCATTACTCATACCAAGGTTCTTACTTGTCTTATCTGTTTTCGTTGTAGGATTAGCAGTGGATGTTGTTTGTTGAGCCTTGGTTGATGTAGGAGCTAAAATATATTTGAGGGAAACTCTTCAATATGATAAGCTAATTCCTGATCTTTTTCAGTTAAAATAATAAGAACTATTATTAATACTTACCAGTAACTAATCCATTAATCACTAGGTTTTCCCTATGAGAATCAAAAGATTGCACTCCACTGACGGTCATAGAGATGGACACCTGATGATGATAGCCGTATCCTATTGTAAGCGGCATGACCTGATGAGCCACTGTTGGTTGGGGTTGGCTTACAGAACCAGCTAGGTTATTATCAATGACAAGTAAAGACCCGGATGTCTGGCTCCAGGAGAGCTCAATTTTGTGCCAGACATTCAAGGTCAAGGTATTTGCTACCGATACGATCCACTGTTTAGATGTTGTTGTAACGACAAAATGTAGTTTATTATTTTGGTAGAAGAGAGCTATCCCCTTGTGATTCTGAAGGTCTCCGCCACTGGATACAATGTATGTGTTATCAGTGAGTTGATGAAGATTCACGTTAATGGCAAGAGTAAAACCAGACGAACACGTGTCAATGTCCTTAAGACAGGCGTTAAATCCCGTGTTGTTGACTGTTATATAACTGTTCCCTGTCAGGTTTATCGCCTTTCCAATAACACTGTTTACAAGGGTTGCAGTTCCATGAATGTTAAACGTAGTGTGCAGGCTTGTGTGAATAACATTCTGTATGATTTGTGTAAGTCCCAAATTAAGGTGTACCATATTTGAAGCTGTAAAGAAAAGAGCGGCACTCTTTTGGAGCTACCATGTTTCTACTCTTTCAACCGTTTGAATGTAATTGAAGTAATTTGTTACTTGAGTAAGCAAACTTACTTTGTTTATCACAGCTGTTCCCATAGAATCCAGGAGGACATTTGCAACCATTAACACCAATACATGTCCCCCCGTTCTTACAGAAATATCTACTACAAAGACCTACAATATAAACATAATGCAAGTTATTAACCCTTTCTCTTCCGGCGCATTTTACGTGTTTTTGGAGGCCTTTTGACATGTCATTACTAAATTACTTCTAACTTTTTTATCCTAGGTGAAAGCTAGGCATAATTCATACCATTTTGAAGGGGATTACATAGAGATGATATTTTATGACTATTTAGATGCTCAACCACTGACCTTATTAGTAAAAATTGAGGTCAAAGGTCAATTAAGTGCAAAATTTTATGGAATTTTTTGATACTTTTTAATCTTCAAGCTAAATATTAAGTATTATGTATGTTGAAATAGGAAATTTGGGATATACCCACAAAAGAGCATTATACTGTAGTACACAAAACACATAAACTTTTTTTTCAATTCTGCATATAACTACTTAAAAGGGGTTGCTAAGCAACGCAGAATTCTTTAATTTTCGGGCAGAAATTTTCATTTTTTACTCAATCTAGATACATTTATGCATCCAAGCACATATTACAGTTAGATGTGAGGTCATAAAATTACAAGGGACATACAGTAGATAAATTGTGTTAAAGTTTGACCTCATTAGATCTATTTTTAGGAGGTCAAAGGTCAAATAAGTGCAACAATTTCATCAACTTTTTTCAACACTTTTCAATATTCTTGACATAATTTTACACAATGGATGCTGAAATGGAAAATTCTGAATATACTCTCAAAAAGGGATCAGAACTGCAATATCCATGCATCATTTTAGTTCAAATATCTGTTTAATGACCTTTTAGTGGTTGCTAAGCAACAACATTTTAAAGGTTTTGGCTATATACATGTTTGTTATTTCACATTCTGGACACATTCTAGACACTTTTTGTATATTTCATGATATTGTTTGTAAGATATATATGGGCCATAAAGATGAAAGAACATTTTTGTATTAAAAAAATTGACCTTGACACTCTTGTTCTTCAGGGGGTCAAGGTCATATCAGTACAGAATTCTGCTTTAAACTGTAAGTAAATATCAATTTTGAAATGCTTCATACATGGATAAATCATCTAATAGTTGACGTAATAAAAATGGCGAACGACAAAATTTGCAAGCAAAGAATTCTGGTCTGCTTCTTACAAACCCCTAGCAAAACATGTATACAATCTTTTTGTTAAACAAGAAATCCATTCTCTTGATGCCATTAAAAATAATCTTTATTTTCATGGATTTAATCTAACAAGAAAAAAAAAACTAAATGATTTCATTACAAGATTTTTCTGGTATAACTGAGCTTAAGGGGTACAATAAAGACTTGACATGTTATCTTGGAGGGAAATAATAATAATAAATAGCATTGGCAATATTTAGCCCAAAACTGCTTAGTCAATAAGTTGAAAATTTGATGCTTATATCCAAATATACAAATCCAGATATATTGCAAGATGAATTCCAAATCAGACTGAAATCTTCAACAAAATGTTGAAGAGCACTTTTACTTTGTGTCCACCATTCTCTTATCAACTGTTACTTCTCTGTAAGACTGGAGGAAATTCTTTGACTTGTCCAAGACATTATAATTTGCTTTCAAGTTCAAGTGATCAGCTTCTATCCTGTAAAAGATTTAAATATTTTGAAACAGATACATGCCATTGTGTATATGAATTTACATTTATAAATAAAATTAAGAATGCTAAAATTACTACATTTATTTGATTTTCCTTTTAAAATTAAGATTGCATCTATTGTGTGATTCAAGTAGTTAAATGATATTGTTAAGTCAATGTATCAGGACTGATAATTCAACAACCTTGTAGTAAACCATTATGGTAAAATTACTGAACTAAAACAAATAGCATATATGGCAATCTGCTAAAGCCAGACCTCTGTTTACGCTATCGCAATATGTAAAAAAAATCTGGCAGTGGATGGAAGATCTAATTTTAATTAGATTGCTACAAAAGCCATGAAGGGACACAGCAATTTTTCAAAAAAGTAGAAAATGAAATCTCAAATTAGACAATCCAATTCCACGGATACTAAATCATTCCCTCGATTTATAATTCGAGATCTCGAATTACACAATCTGATCTTACAGATTACTACTTCGCCCCCTTGATTCATAATTTGAGATCTCGAATTACATACTGCTAATTTGTTTTCACAGATTAATAATTCGAGATCTCGATTTGTTACAACGTCAGTCCTATGATTTTGGCAATCTGTGCTCTTGAATTTTATTACATATATATATGTACAGATACATCCAACTATTTTAATCAATTAGTGCGTTCACTTCTTTTTATTTTGTTTCAGCAACCGGTCATTTCCAACCTCTTTCATAACTAATTCAACGTATATTTATTTTAGAAATATTATGATTACACAGGACCCATATTCACTTTACTATATCGGACTTTCAATTATCTTAATATACACGTAACCAAAAACCTCTAAGATTTTTTGTTGTACAAATATCAGTACTAGCATATGGATTTGAAAATGTTCATTTATTTTTTCATTTTGGTAATATGGTAATATGTAATAAAAGGTTGGATGTAAAATACTACAATACTCTATTCTTTAAACATGTATTACCATATCCGATATGTACGGATAAATAATTTTAATGAAATCATGGGAAGGGTTTACATTCCGAGGGAACATGTCAATGAATTATACAATCTGAGATAATGGATTGTGTAATTTGAGGGAAGATAATCTGTGAGAATATGAATTGGCAATTTGTTATAACAGATTGTCAATCCGAGAGAATGGATTGTGTAAATCGAGAACTCGGTTTACTTTTATAAATTTTTAAAAATTCTATGTCCCTTCATGGCTTTCATAGATTGCATACCTGCATGGCTGCCAGGGTTGTAAAAAGAAGGGAGACAATAGACTGCAATGTTACTTCAGGGCAAAATTCCTGGGGCAAGGCTGTTCGTGAGCATGGGAGTGTTGATAAACCATCCAGTGAGTTTGACCACCCATATATATGATGTACGATAATTGGAAAGTGTCTGAAAAAATGAGAAAATGGAAATTCTAACCACAAACTTTATGCAGATTGGAAATACAACAGCAGTCTATAAAAACAGCTTGTTTCATATCTCGGCATTCATTCAAATAGATATTACGTGTTTAAATAATGTGTTTGTATGAATAATCAAGCATCATAAGTATTATGTGTTTCAAACACTTATTTTTCAAAATATAAATCAAATGTTTATAAACATGAATGTATGAATGATTTATCATGAGAATGACACAAATGAAATTTGACTTTATTTTTTGAAATTTTAGAAATACAGAAATTTTCAACAACAAAACAAAAATTTACCTGTTCATTGGTGTCCTTACATATTAATTGGCATTCGTAGATCATGGTGGGCTTAGCAAGTGGGTATTCACAGATGAAAGTATTGTTGCATATGTTGCCAGCACCCTAAAAATTCAAAGTGAAAGTGGTATATGTACACACTGGTACACACATACTGAAAACAACTATCTATTTAATATTATTGGAATCTTATTGATAAGCTGCAAGGTACTGAAAACACGAACAGCTCGGATGCAATCGATCCAAACACCTGGGTCTCTCACTTCCAAAATCTAAACCAACCAAAACCCAAGTATGCTCAACGTCTGGCACAGCTTGATAATATTCTTACCAATCTGGAAAAAAGTAAATGTTTTAGTGAACTTGATAATCATATATCTGTAGCAGAAATTTCAAATGCTATCTCAAAATTAAAAAATGGAAAAGCCCCAGGTCTTGACAATATTTCAAACCATATGATCAAATGTAGTCAAACTTTTTTACTACCATGTCTCTATAAAATATTCAACTGTTGCCTTACATTTGGATATTATCCAAAACCTTGGTCTTCTGGGTACATTATTCCTATTTATAAAAGTAATGATAGTTCTGATCCAAACAACTATCGGGGCATTACAGTTACAAATGCAATAGGAAAGTTATTCAATAAAATACTAGACATTCGACTTGATGAATTTTTAGAAAAACATCATGTAATAAGTGATTATCAGATCGGCTTCACTCGAAAAGCAAGAACATCAGACCATATGTATATACTCAAGACAATTATTGATAAGTACTGTAATACTAAAGATGGTAGAGTATATGCCTGCTTTGTTGATTTTCAAAAAGCCTTTGATACTGTTATACACACAGGGATCAAAATTAAACTCCTCAAAATAGGGGTAGGAACAAATTTTTATGAAGTAGTGAAAAGTATGTATACATCAAGTAAATCCTGTGTCAGAGTCGATAATAAGATTACTAACTTTTTCCCAATAACTTTGGGAGTGAAGCAAGGTGACAATCTCAGTCCCAATTTATTTAAAATTTTTATTAATGATCTTCCAGATTACCTGAACTCAGCTACTGACCCTGTTTATTTAAATTCAAATTCAGTTAAATGTTTGATGTATGCTGATGACATAATTCTACTCTCCTCCACAGCGGAAGGTTTACAACAAGAACTTAATATTCTACAGCAATACTGTAACGATTGGTGTCTCTGTGTAAATACATCTAAAACAAAGATAGTTGTTTTTAACAAAGCAGGTAGACTCTCCAAAACAAAATTTTACCTCGATGATGTCGAACTGGAATGTGTGTCTGAATACAAATATCTAGGTGTGACATTTTGTTCTTCGGGTTCTTTCTCCTTTGCTCAAAAGCAGCTTTATCAAAAAGCATTAAAATCATTTTTTAAACTCAGGAAAAATTTCATTTCCCTGAATCCTGAGGTTAAAACCACTATTCATATTTTTGACCATACAATTAAACCTATTTTATTGTATGCATCTGAAGTTTGGGGTTGTTTTAATCCATTTACAAAAAAAAATAGCATACCCAATTGTACTATTGATAAAATATACTCCAACTTATTCTGTGAAAAACTCCACTTGAAATTTTGTAAATCAGTACTAGGTGTGCATAAAACTGCAACTAATTTTGCTGTATTGTCTGATTTAGGTAGATTTCCCCTGCACTTTGACATTGTAAGATCAATGATAAGGTACTGGTATAGGCTTGAAAATCTAGGCCATTCTTTCCCAATTTTAAAAGATGCATATTGTGAATCCAAATCATTGTTTGAGAAAAACATCCCTTCTTGGTACAGCTCCATTAATTTTCTTATTACCAATATCGAGGGTATTCGTGATTTAACTTCAGTCAAAATGCACAAATTCAAACGTGAACTTAAAGATTGTTTATTTAGATATTATATACAAGAGTGGAATTCTCAACTTAAATCACACTCTGATAAAAAGCTGAGATGCTATAGCACTTTTAAACAAAATTTTGGTCAAGAAAAGTATCTTAATTTAATTAAGAATTTTGAGCAGAGGAGAAGTTTTACTCGTTTTCGCATATCAGCTCACAGACTTAATATTGAAAGGGGTCGATATATAGGTATTCCTAGAGAAGAAAGACACTGCAATAGATGCAATAACAAAACAGTTGATGATGAGAAACATTTTCTCTTTTCATGTAATCACATTAAGGATGAAAGAAAAGTCTTGTATGAATTAATAAACAATTCCTGTAAGAATTTCCACAACTTGGACAGTGAAAATAAGTTAAATTGGCTCATGACTAATGAGGATGTGCAAATACTGATTCAAGTCAGTAAAATGATTATGAGAGCTGAAGTATGAAAAGTATTAGTAAACCTGGTTTTTTTTTTTTTTTTTTTTTTTTGAAATTTAATGTGTCCCCTCATTCCCTTCTTAAATGTACAGAATCAGTCAGAATGGGTGTCTTGAATACTTAGAGTACGGGTTTGCCAGTATAATCGGCTGTGCAGAGGCATCGTCCCCTGGTACCCTCTGTATCCAAGTTACCTTTTCTTTACATTAATTGTATGCTACCTTCAAGATCACAGATTTACATTTATACAGGATAGTACCATTTGTTTATATATATATACATATAATTGTGTGTAAATTATTATTTTTGTATGCATGGATATGTGTAACAATAAGTGTATGTTTATAATATATACTATACATACATATATTTGTATATAAATTATTATTTTTGTATGCATGGATTTGTGTAACAGTAAGTGTGTGTTTGTGTATGTGGGTATGCATATGTCAAATATCTATTGAACTAACTCCAAGAGATTAGTTTGCATTAAGTTTCTAATTATATGCTAAGTACTTATTAATTGAAATTACTATTTCTGTTAATACTTAAATGATTTTTTTTTTTTTTGAATGACCATCTTCAATACTTAGGGTACAGGTTTGCCAGACTGGCTGTGTAGAGGTATCATCCCCTGGTGCCCTTTGTATTCAAGATGCACTAGTATTATATTAGAGTACTGCCATTACTACAAGATTTTTTTTTTTTTTTTTTTTTTTTTTTTTAATTTACCTTATATCTATTTTTTTTTTTTTTTTTTAATTTACCTTATATCTATCATTTTTATTTAATTGTGTTTTCTTTTATCATTCTATGGTTTCTATGCTTTTGATCCAGTGTGGTGATGCACTTCTCAATGTCAAACTTAATCACAAGTCATGTTACATTATCCTTAATATAGAATTGTAATCAATGTTATCATTTTGTAATAATTGTTCATGCCCCCTGTGGGCCCTTGATTGGTGAATAAACATATATATATATATATAATGGCAACTTTGATTTTACTTTGAACTTATGAGTGTTTGTCAAAAGCATCAAAGTTCAAAAGCAACACAAAATTGGCTGAACAATACGAAATACGCACACTGAAATATGAAGATCTAGTGCATGTACATGTCTACATTTAGTTTTCTTTTGAACGTGAACTAATTGCGTTTTAAACTTAAACTATTCAGTCAATATACACGTATTCTCACCTGCTAATACCAAAGGATGTCCATATTATTTGATTCATTGATGTGATGATCTTCGTCGTGAAATAATCATGAAAACTGACGTTCAGATTTCACCATCATGTTGTTTGTTTACTGCCACCATAGCGGAAACACGTGGTTATTTCAATTCGTATCAACTCATACAGTGATGAGTTGTATTTATTTATAAATGCGAATATTTCGTGTTAATATAGATCTAATTAATTTGCAAATTAAGTATACAATATAACAAGATACAACTATATTAAAATCTGATTTTTTTAAGTAAAGATCGACGTTTAGGGAATCTACAATTTTTCTCAACATTGTACATCACTACATGAAATTTTCATCATTACATGTGGATGAATAAATTGACATTTCATTTCGATCACACAAAAGGAAGAACGATAGTAAATATTTGTTTTTTTAAATGTATTTTTGTATTATGCATTTATTTCAGTAAAAAATATATATTTAAATGGTCAAAAAAGTCTTATAAAAGAATTTGTTGTTTCGAGTAAGACGCAACAATATCGACCTTGACGTTACATGGTAAATATTGACCGATTTTTCCATAAAAACTATGCGAAGGTCACAAATTCAATTTATCGCAATTAAGAAAATACCGAGCGTAAGAAGGTCTGTAAGGGCTTGTTGGAAAGGAAATTTTCTCCACTTTTACCAGCTTTATTTTGTTTTCCCTATTTCAACACAGAAATAAACGTAAAACTGAGCTTTGTTTAAACATTACGAATAAAACCGAGAAAAAACACATAAGTGCAAGAAAATTCTTGTTTTTAAAATATACCTTAAAGTAATAACAATAATTTTTACATATTTTAAAAGTAGAGAAAATATGCTTTAAGAACATACCATGCTTTCTTCATAAAGTTAAACAGGAAAAAATTGTCAATCGTCTGGAAAATCGGCAATCGCTTTGGAAAATTACGCCATTTTCAAAAAGTCACGTTTGTCTTTACAACGTAAAATCGATTAAATACCGGCAATCAAGACATAATCTTTTTAGATATTTTAAAAGTAGAGAAAATTTCCAAAAAGATGATATATAGTTTATATACCTTCATGCTACCATTAAATAGATACGGAGATCTTATTTTCGCGAAGTCGTGTTTTAACGCGCCACCGGTCAATTTGACCGGTACGGGTACGGAAGTGAAGGGGTTAAAGCAGAATTGTATTGGTAAACAAATACAAATCAATATAGTCAAAACTATTTTTTAAGTGTATGTAGAGTTTGAAAAGGTGTATGCTTATACCAAATATTATTCTACTGAAAAGCCGTACTATTTATATTAATACTAATAAAATCAGAACTATAACCTGCTGGATCGCATCCAACAACCTCCATTCTAAAACAAGCTGCTGTATAGTATGTTTCTGAATAAATTCTAATGGCATCTGTGACAATGTATGGATTCAATCCGATATTGTAGTATAACGTTGAGTTGTAAATTGAGGGTATGTGCTAAAGAAATAAAAAGGTGTTATCTCATCATATGCCTGCATCCCATATCGAAACGTATCATTATTAACTGATCAATGATGCTTATTTGTTTACCTCATGAAAGCTACGCCATTCCTTGATGGGATCCATCGCAGATATGAATTTCAGTTCAAAAGTCTCCATGTACATGCTGGGGAATGTATGCGAATCTTTCTGACTGGGGTGACGAAAATTCAAACCAGACACGGCCATAGGTTTAGGAAGTCTGACTTCAAGCCAAGGCTGATGGTCACTGGACGCTGGACACCATGCTCCATTCTCTTCTCCTGTATGGTACATCGATTTCTCTTAATATTCTGTTTATAGGTAGAACATGAAGATAAATAGTTATAGAAAACATTGATGTTTTACCTGAACAGCAGTTGTATCGGACCTTGTCTTTTGTTTTCCCCGCTGCTGACGATGACACAGATATCATACTATCTGTAATGGCCCCGCTAGCCAAACCAAGGGCAGTACTGCACACTGTAAAATATTCTGAGTTTGTGTATTTTAAGTGAATTATAATTATATCGGTACTTGAATTTGCTACTTGAAAGAAATAACGATTCAATTGTGTTTTATGACTTATTCTCTTTAAAGATACTCACCAGGATTTGAAACTGAAATAGAAAGGAAAATGGAATGAAGTTGAATGTACATATATAATCAAATATTTACCAGAAATCAAACATTTTAAAATGGGATTTAAGTAGATATTCTTCTCGTATTTATCATATTTAGAAATTTAAAAAAAATACATTTTATTTTTTAGCATTTTTATAAAAATTAATATAGATCTAATTTATTTTAATTTAATTTTATATGAATATAGATTTTTGAAAAGATTCAAGAAGACAATGTCACTGACATTGAATACATTACTTGCATATTTGACCGTTTCATTAAAAGATCAAGGTCATGTCAAGGTTAATATCTTTTCATCAAAAATTATTATTGCCAATGATGTAATGTTGTTTTTTTTATAATGGGGTTGTGGTTGTGTTAGAAAGTGCACATGGGGAAATGAGACGTTATTTTTTATAAGTTCAATAAAATAATTCTTAAATGATAACAAGTAAATTAATCATGAGTAAAATATTTTAAAAAATTGCTTTAAACTTAGTTTTAATTGTTTTTATTATATTTCAACTTCATTGTCATTTCTCATCAGATAATTGATAATTTATGGTAATATAAAAAGGGTGTCTTCCCACTTAGCCAAAATTCTGAAGAGTTAACAATAGATACTCCCCAGCCTGGGAGTGTGTAAGATATGAAAGGAAATTGTCATGACTTTCCGGATAATAATGACATGATAAAAGTGCATGTTGAATAAAAATTGAAAAAAAAAATTCAACTAGTAAAAATTGTTTTGAACATGCTCTACAGCTGCAAATGACACCAAGATATTTTTCTACATTTTGCACCACAGCTTCTTTGCAGCATACTCTGCAGAAACCATGGTCAATATCATGTGACCAAGATCCGGGGTACTTGTAAGCACGTGGTTCATCTTCATTTTGATGACAATAGATTCTTATCATTCATCAATGATCCATCGTTGCAGACACGTAGCAACAGGGGGAATGGGGCCTGCCCCCTTTTTTCAAACCTAACTTTTTTATACTAAATATTTAAATGTTCATTGAAGGCTGTTTGCCTCCCTCCCCCTTAAAGTTACAGTGAGAAGCTCAAATAGGTTTTTCGAGTTTAGGCAGTTTCCCTTTTTTTTCCTTGTCAAGTTTTCTCGAGTAGGTTAAAAAAATTCTCTGGCTGCCCCCCTTTCAAAATCGATTCTACTTCACTGCACTGCCATTTTTTATACATCATCAATCTATTATAATCTATTTATGAGCAAATGCGGTAAAATGTGTATTTATTTAATTCTTAAGAATTATTTATTTTGCTTTGAAGACAGCCCGAAATAAAAATTATTCAACTATTTCGCCTTTGAATATCTTGACGTGCTTTGTTACAACGCACTTTGAAAAATTACGCACTTTGAAAAATTTTTTCAAAGTGCGTTAATTTTTGGGACCAGGTTAACGCACTTCGAAAAATTTTTTCAAAGTGCGTTGAATTTGGGACCAAATCAACGCACTTTGAAAAAATTTTTCAAAGTGCGTTAAGACTGTACATCATAATTTTACACCATGTAAACATTTAACGCACTTTGAAAAAATTTTCATGAAACAAAAGGAATTAGACTTACATGTATATTTTAGAAATAGACAACAGTATTACCCCCTCGCAACGTATGATGGGATATAGTGATGCGATTATGTGTGTTATTACTTTATGTGTATGTTTTTTTTATCTGTGTGGAATTGACGTAATTTGTATCGCGATCGATGTCAAATGCTGCCTTGATTTACTGAACATGCTTTTTGGGAAGGAATGCTCCGCTTTGCGGTGCCCTTACTTTGATGTTTTTCTTTCTAAAAACTGATGGATTGAAGAAAACCTAGAAACGGACAACGAAGAAAAGACTGGCTGAATTAAGGTCCATCAGCTTAACTCTTTATCATTCCCACCCAGATGTATCTATTTCTATAACTCGTAAACTTAAGTGTCAATGATATTTGGAAAAAAGAGCATTCTAAATACAGTATAAGCACTGTACAAGGAAGTCTGTAGTAAATCGAAATTTTGTTCTTTTAAATCTCAAAGTCTATTTATGTTCATTTTCAGGAAAATCAGAATATTAATAACATTAATTACATTTAATTATATTAAGTACCTGTCTGCTTTTCGATGTTAATTTGATACCATATCTGATATTCTCTCTGTTAACCTCCAGGTATTTAACTTACATGATATTTTCATAGGAATTGTTCATTTATCATGTATCTAATATCTTTTCTCATGTTTTACGCAAATAAATAAAGCATATATAAATTAATAAAATACAATTATTTAGTTTTAAATAGCTTTAAAATTGGTGAAAAATAAGCATTTTTTTCGTTTTTTGTCTATAAACATATGCCCCCCCCCCCCCCCCGTGAAACACAAAAAGCTTTGGCATAAATTTGTAAAATGACAGTCCATATTATCTGTAAAAAGGAATTTTTGTTTCACGGGGGGGGGGGGGGGGGGGGAGTTGTTTTAAAAATATTTTCATTTTTCCGTTAATTTCTATAGTGGAAAACACAAGTTTTGCCAAAATTATAGAGTTATCTCTCTTTGGTATCCCAAATAAGTAAGGTTTTATGAAAATTCATATAAATATGTATAAAAATTTTGAGAATCATTCCAAGATGTTAACTTTTGAGAATTGACTTAGAGATAGGCGGAAGAATAATACTATCGTTCGTAGTTCTTTACGACCTTGAATGTTGACCTTTTGACCCCAAATTCAAAAGGGGTCTTCCTAAGGCCACAGGGATTCTGTTATGTTAAATTTCATTGCAAAAGCCCAAAGGGTTGTCGAGATATCGTGTGGAAACGAAAGCGTTACAGAAAGACGGATGGACGGACAGCTAGACGGACGGACGGACCCAAATTAATATCCCACACTTTTCAAGCGGGGGACAAAAAGTATCAAATCAGGTTCAAATGATAAGTTATCATACTTAAGATTTGTAGGAATATTGACTAAGCCATGCAGAATTTTTTTTTCAAAGTGCGTTAATATGGTCCATATTAACGCACTTTGAAAAAAAAAGTTTTTTTTCAAAGTGCGTTAACCTCACTCTAAAAAAAGTTTTACTTGTTGTTTTTAAAATAAGATATTAGATTAAGAAAAACTAGTAATTATTAGTAATCCATTTAGTCAGAATAGCAAGTAAAAGACTATCATAGTTAGTAATTGTAAACATGATTAGTAATAAGGATGAATTCATTTACTTATAAAATGATTTACTAAGTATCAATAGAATTACTTAAATTATAGGAATTGTATTACTTTAAGTTATTAATGAACTACTCATTTTTGTTAAATTATTATTACTTAATTTAGAGATAATATGCTTTCTATTTACTAAATTTTATGAATTATTACTAAGTAAATGTAATTCTGAAATTAATCAAAATCTAGAATATTATTACTCAAAAGAATACTAAGTAAATAAAATACTTATCATATTTACTAAAATCGACATTATTTACCAGAAACAATGCAAGGTACCGACCCTCTGACATGCGAGTACTACTCACAGATTTCTTTATTTGAGTTCCCTAATTGGGCCCTCTGAATAGTTTAATAGAAGAAATCTACTTTTGATGGAAACAATTATATTTTCTATTTCTTTTGCCAATTTCTTTGTAATTATTTTATTATATATAACAATAAAACATTTGATTCCAAATTCGAAAGCCTTATAAATTGAATAAGTTGTATCTTTTTAAGGACCATTTTAAAAATGGTTAAACATTTCAAGTACTTAATTTCGCATTTTTATTAGTGTGACTTTTTTTTCACATGAGGGTATATTTAGAAGAAAGATAACTCCTCCTCACAGACAATTAATGATTAGACTACCATATTTAAGTAATACTGATCTGAATTCTCCTTGATTTAGTAAATAAATTTTTGTTTTAAGTAAATTAATTAATACAATTCAAACAAGATGTGTTTGTGAAACACCTATGCCCCTGTATGGCAACATAGCAAAGGTTAAACTTTTCTTATATGCAAATTCAAATTATTGGGATTTCTTGATATCTCCAAGGTCAAAAGGTCAAGGTTATTGGTATCTAATGAAAGGTCTTGCCACAAAAAATACATTTGTGAAATGTGGAAACACTTGCCTCAACCCTTCAGAAGTTATGGTCAAGGTTACCAATTTTGAAATGTAGGTCAAACTCCAAGGTCAAGGACAAAGGGACAGATTTGGTGGTACCCTAAGAAAGGTCTTGTCACAAGGATGAACTATGTAAAGTATGAATGCACTAACCCTAATCCTTTTAAAGATACAGTCAAGGTTTGCTTTTTAAAAGTGGGTCAAACTCCAAGGTCAAGGTCAAAGTGTCAAAGTTCTTGGTATCCTCTGAATGGTCTTCTCAAAATGATTACATATATGTAAGTATGAAAACACTATTCCTTACCATTCAAAAGTTATGGCCAAGGTTAAAGTTTTTTTTTCACAAGGATGGAAATCTCCAGGGTCATGGTCAAAATTTCATAGTTGTTGGTATTCAATGAATGTTCTTAGCTTTCAACAAAAAATATATATGTGAAGTATAAATGTCCTGGTATTTACTGTTCAAAAGATTTGGATAAAGAATAAGTTTGGATTTTTTGTGTATAAGTGAGTCAAACTTTAAGGTCAAGGTAAAATTTGGTGATACTCAGAGAAAGGTCTTGTTACAAGGAATACACGTGTGAAATATGAAAGTCATAGCTCCACTAAATCAAAAGTTATGGGCAAGGTTAAAGTTTCTGCAGATAAACAGACAAACATAGGGACAGCTAGACAGACAGACGGACACGACAAAAATTATATACCCCCGAAACTTCGTTTACGGGGGCATTAAATTATTAGTTATATAGTAAATAGTGGTAAAATGTAAGTAAAGACCAAGTTATGTTAAAACTTATATACGCAAATTTAAGTAAATATAAATTACTAAGTAAAACTTTTTAGTGTGTAAGTAAAACAATTCTTTAAAATACAAAAATCAAGTAAAACGTTTGAATCTAGTAATTGACATATATTTCAGTAATTGATTTTAAATTTTAAGTAAATGCTTAGTAATTATCTATTACTTATCTTTGTTATTTCAAGTAAAAAATGACTACTAAGTAAAACTTTTTTAAGAGTGCTGGTCCCAAAAATTAACGCACTTTGAAACATTTTTTCAAAGTGCGTAATTTTTTCAAAGTGCGTTGCCACAGTGCTTTCCTTGCATGGACGCTTTTAAAATTGTGAATGTTTTTTTAATGCTAAATTTTGTTTGCGGCCGATTTTTGTTGCATCAATTCAACTTGTTTTAAAAAGATTTTTATTTTTTTATTTTTACATAAAATGTTCATAAAATAAACTGTCTACCAGATAAAAATATCAAATTGAGTTAAACAGTGAAAATAATTAGATATTGGATAACCCGATAAACAATAGGTTTTTTTTAATATTGTAAATTTTGAAACTTAAAAAAATTAGGATGACTGATATAAGTGGATATAAAAATTAATTTATGTTCCCTTACTCAGGTTTTCGCATCTTGCTCCATTGTAGTTGTTTGGGCATGCACACGTGTTTTCAGCCAGACACTGGCCTCCATTCAGACAGGTGTTGGGACACAGAGCTAAATCAGATTAACTGAATTTGAAATAAGGTGGACATATTATGATGCTTTCCCAACGTTTACAATCAGTCATTGTGATCGGAATATTAATCATACCTTCATAATTGTTGCATCCTAAAAGGTCAAATCTTAGACACGGACTTTTCTGGTAATGGAGGATGTTGATTCTGAATTTGGTCACAACAAGACCTGGATTTATTGTAATGGTTGTAGAAACTGTGTTGTTGTCTTTGAGAGCATCAATAGGCTACCAATAAATATTAAAAGATTAAAAAAGGGAATCAGTTCTTTGCTTGCCAATACAAGGCCGTAACTAGGTTCCAATTTTTAGTGAGGTAAGGGTGTTGCCATTGGGCATTTCTAGTCCCGCCAGACGGGGCAAGGGTAGTACCTGATAGCCAGTGATGTGGGGTTTCCAGGAGGAGGGGAATCCTGAAACCTGGTTATCAGAAAATAAAAGATTTAACCTTAGAAAGTAATTACGTTTTTGAATTGTCGCTCGCATGACACTGTGGTTAGAGCGTATGGTCGTATGCTCTAGAGCCGCAGACTATAAGGAGTTGATCCTTACATCGCGGGTTCGAATCCCACTGCGGGATGTAGACCGGTCCTTCGGATGAGACCGTAAAAATCGAGGTCCTATATCACAGTAAGTGATGGCACAAAAAGATATTTCACTGTTCAATCATCTTCAGTGACCCTGAAAGCCTAGTGCAGATTTAAAACTTGCAGCCCTCCACTGGCAACCAGTGGTGTCTCAATATGAATGAGAAATTCTTAGAAGGGATGTTTTAACAATCAAACAGTTTACAAAACAAACATTTTGAATTATATTTTACATGCGTTCTAAATGATTTTGAGGCACCTGGCGAGATGAACGATTTACATAAATTGAAACAAAAGTTGAAATTATTCATTTAGCAGGAAGACACACATAATTCATAAGTTTAGTTTAACACTTTTTCACTTTTCAGAAAATTCTAAAAATTTAGTGAGGCATTTGCCTCACTTGCCTCAATGGTAGTTACGGCCTTGCAATATAAATTTGAAAGTTTCTAAACGTTTAAAGTTCGCGTAAACAAATCTTGATTCTTTTAAAAATTGAAAAACTTACACATCATTGAAAAACCAAGCAGGTTTACCTGTGGCTGAATTGGATCAGAAGATACATACTGCCAAGACGTTGACCCCTTCAACATAAATTGTAAAGATACTGACGTTACATAACCCGCGTGGACATCTTCTGGTTTCTGAATGACCAGTCCACGTATTCCTACACCTTGATCGAAATCCACCTCTATCCAGTTATCCGTGGAGTGTGAATTACCACACCATCCACCTTTTTCTTTTCTACCTGATGCATTGGAAGATAGCTAGATAGTTTTGTTTCCATTGATATTTTAACATTGTTTTCGAGTATCATTTGATAAATTTACCTTACTCATTGTCCATAACAGCAGATTTATTATAATTATCTGTTTAATAAAACTCACTTGCACAGCAATCAATTCTGGCATTTACAAGACTTCTTGCTAATGCATTGGAACTTTTGATCATGGTTTCCGTTATACCGTTCCACAGGGTTGATTTACACACTAAAATATAAATGTCATAAAAAATAGCTACCAAGTTACTAATTTTTTTTATTTATAATAACTAAATCCTACTAAGAATAATTACCATTGATTGTTTGCCATTCAAGTTTTATTGAGTTACATGTAAATCTAGTCCTTTCAAGGGACATGGACACCTTCTCAGCCAAAAATTTTCAAATTTATTTTTCCATTTTTATATTTTTTAGGCTTGTCAATGATTGCAATTTACCATTCAATAATTAGAGCTCTAATGTTACTACATGTACGTTCTAAATCTACCTTATAAATTTAAGCTTTTTCAATCAAATTTTGACAAACATTTTGATTTTTTTTCATACATGTATTGTTGTGTGGAAAAGCGTTTTTCCTTACATTAATATAGGAAACAGAATTGCCTTTATTTCCATTTTGTGTTGCTTTATTTTTTCCATCAACTCTGTGGACTTACTCTAACACTACTCATACATGTATAGAGTTAGACTTACCCCATACAGTAGTGGGCCTTCTCCCTTTCATTTTATATTACATTTTATATATTTTTTATTACTCTGACGAGATTGCTGCTTTTCCATGATTGAAATATAATTACATGTACTACTAATATTTAGATTTAAACATTAATTTTTATTTTATAAATTGTCCTTATACTTTTATTCAAAAAGATTCATCATCTTGTTGACATTGTGAGTTTTAACGCGTCATACAAAAACTCTTACCTGAGTCTGGAAGTGAAGAATTGACGCCAGAAAACGTAAGGTACAAAAGCAACATAGGCAGCGCCTTGATAGACTTCATTGTGACCAACGCCTTCTTGGGCCTGAAAAACATTATGTACAGTCCTCTATAATCTTTTCCTTGTTTTATAACAATTCATATCTGGGAGAGAACTTAAGAAATAACTTTTTACCTAGGACACACAAATATCAAGTATGATTATATTCAGTTAAATTATGTCAATTCTTCATGGGAGTTTGATAAAAAAAAAAAACACCTTGTATAAGATCGGTCACCAACCAGATATGAAAATGTCTTACAAGTTCATTTAAAGACGAAAAGAATTTTGATCTATTAATTCACTAACTCTCTGAGACTATCAAATTTAAAATTAAAGTTCTAATTGTTAACTGCCTGAATAGCTTCTGTGTATTTCTCTGTTCGTATTTTTTTAAAACCAACTTCCCTTAAAGTTTTGGTTCAATATCAATATACACTAGTACACGAGGGTCATTCAAAAAATACGTAGACAATGCTTCTCATCGTCATATGATTATTACAAGATTATAGATCAACACATTTTCGTAAACATAAACATTTATTTTGTCGAAGTGTGAAGTTTCATTCCATTTGATTAAACAGAACTCACGTAAGCCAAAATTAAACGCAACATGTTTTGTTACCACGGAGCACGGTTAACCAATATTGTAACGTCAAAATCAACGCTGAGAAAGTTTGTCAAAAGTATACACATTTTTGTTATTTGAAACACGGTTTGTTGCGTCTTAATTCTCCATTCAAAATACATATCCACAATACTTAACACCTGGTTTGCTAACAATTGTACAAATATAGCTTGAATTAGAATGTTATTGTTTTCATATTCTTTGATTTACCATGCAACTTTATTATTTCTGCAACATTGAAGCACACATCACGTTCAATGACGTTCACAAACTCTTTCGACAATATTTTTAACTTAAACCTGTTTCTTTGCAGACAATCCATCGTCCGATTCAAACTCGCTACCACTCAAAAATTGTATTTTCAACTTAATACAAATACACAGATTTTTTTTCATACAGATCCTGATTTATAAGGATTTTTTAAGCATGTAGAAAAAGTTTCCCGAACGTAAAGTCTAATTTTATTGCTACTTGCTGCTCCGTGACGTCCTCCAACGTCATGTTTTTTTGCCTTTTTTAATCAAGTCCATATGTATTTAGAAGCTGATATCCTTTAAATGGAATGAGATATTACATAACCTGATTTCATTTTAATTTATACAGCAATACTTTATTTAAACATGTAAATTTTATTTCGTTTCAGCTCCATTTATTATAGGTATAGCTGTAAATACTATAAAGTGAAAATTAGAAAATTACTCAATTTTGACGGTGCTCCGTGACCCCATTTTTGCTGTTCTGAATCCTTGGTAATTTTAATGAATATGAGGATACATTCCAATTTTTTTACTCAAATTATTTGAATCTGTTGTTAAAATCTTTGTACCAAATTTGGATATAATATGACGTTAAATAAAAAAGTTAGGACAAAAGTCTACGAACTTTTTGAATGACCCTCGTACTTGGTGCACTAGTAGACTCCACCAAGATGCAACCTTTTTTCAAGTTTTTGGTTTCAATAAACGCGGTTAATGGCATGACATGGCTCTAAAGATATAGACTTTCTTATTCTCTTACATCTCTTCTCTTATACATTGTTACTAAAGTGAACTACATGTTCATATACAAACATAGTTTTATATTTTTTTCAATTAATGTTGTTTCCATGATTACTAAAAAATCTACTTCAGATCTTAAATTCTTTTAAAATACTACTCATAGATAGTTTTGACCGGTCTGATTTTAATATATCCTGGCACAAAAGCAGACTACTCTAAGAAACATGTATGATATCTATATAATATCTACATGTATTTATGTCATTGTGGTTGTGTCTGTCATTTATTTTCAGTCTGAAAATTAACGATTTTATTAAGATGTGCATACATTAAAACTTTAAGAAAATTTAAATACAAAATTTCACAAACATTGGCTTTTAGAGATTTATTCTTCCAAATATTTATTAGAAATTCTCATGGGCACCAATAGCTACTTGATAAACTCCTCCATGACCCCTGGTCCCACTTGGTAAGGGGTATATTTTTTTTTATCAGAAGCAAAATATTTCCATTTCTATTTTTTTCTCTCTGTGATAACTCTTTGAAAGTTGTCGGAGTTCATTTCTTGATAATTCAGCCGGAATGAAAATTAGGCAGGTCGATAGGTCAGGAGCTAAGGAGGCCTAATATGCATGCAAATCTCGTGCGCATCTGTCTCTGTGTCTGACGCTAAGGAGGCCAAATATGCATGTAAATCTCGTGCGGCTGCCTATGTGTTTGACGTCAGTGGGCGAGGACTATTGAAATTGGCATGGAAGTCCTCGTGTAATTTAAGTCTATGTCTACATTTTTAAAGTCTAAATCTACAATTTTATTTCACAATGAAATGGAAATATAAGGAATCACTGTCTAGTTAGTATAGTATGCCAGGGACATCAACGATAGTGGGAAACATGGGATAATTTATGAATAACGGGCTTCGCGCGTTATGTAGAAATTAGCCCATGTTTCCCATTATCGTTGATGCCCTGGCATACTACTAGTATACTAACTAGACAGTGATTTGCGGGTGTGGGTACAGAAAATAAAGGGCATTTTATTAAAATTCTTTTCTCCAAAATATCTCCTAACATTATGCTCTCAAAAATATATAACAGCATTTAGATTTTATTTCGCACATAAGTTTTTGGCGTGAAGAGCACCCCAGCGCGCCACACACAGCCAAAACGAGATGGTTGATTTTTCCGTCATTATTGACGTGTCCATTTGTGATAGTTTCGGGAATTTCGTCGCGATACAAATGTACTGTATGCTGTTGGTTGGTCAAATGACCCCGCTGCAAGGTACTAGTAATCTTAAGCTTTGTACTGCATTCTCCAACTCGGAACGCAAACATTTTTTTTTCAAGGAATCATGAGAACACTGCAAGCGGACTTACTACGACAAAGTGCACAGGGCAAGTCGTGTTCATTGTAAGGTCCAAATTAAAGCTGAACACGACTCGTAAATAGGCATACGCCATTTTTGATAGCATTATCTACGACACATCAATACTAGGGTATACTTGTCGCATTCGTTACACCTGACTGCTTTATTGTCACAGGTATCGGCGTGGAATGGCGACCCGTGTTCGTGTTGGTTATCTTGCATTACCTTTGTTTATATTTTATTGCAGTTACGTTTATCTATGTTGTTTCTATATTGCACTGACTTATACAACTATAATTGTAAATTTATTTGGTATCTTACTTTCCTGCATTAGACGAAGTATTACGTTATTATTCTCACTAGTTACCAAGTCCTGTATAGCATACGTCCGTCTACACCGGTGTCGACTGATTAAACTGAACAGTCTCTAATTCTTGCCCTATTTATATGGGTCTGCAGGGTAGCGAGACTCGGGAACTAAAATGGTAGACACATTACTTTCGAATAGCATTGTGAGTAATATCGTGCAGCGTAACGAGGACAAGTAAGTGTGAAAGGCAGACGTATTCGGCTGCTCCTTCAGTATGTTTAAAACACGATCCACCTGCAAATCCTTAAAAAAAGCAAACATAAAAAGCACTTTAAGTTCTAGAAAAAGCATTGTTCACGATGAATATTAAAGAAATATAATCTCAGCAGCTGAAGGAATTTTCCCTTTAAGTTTCTTTTTTTCTATAATTGAATTTCATTTTTATTCGTCGCACAATAAGCATTTTGCTGGCCTTATTCGCGCATGCTCAGATCTAGAGGGGGTCGGGGGTCCGGAACCCCCCCTCCCTCCCTGGAATTTGCAGAGATATATTCAATTGATACATAAACCATGTAAAAAGTGACCTTGGACCCCCCCCCTAGAAAACGGAGACCCCCTCGAAAACGCGGACCTGTGTGAAGTTGGTATGAAAAATGATTGTGTATAAAGCATTAGAAGTCAAAAGTCAACCACCAACCCCACCCCTCCACGAATAGGATTTTCACGTTTGAGCAAGTTAAAGTTTTTTCGTTTTGTTTTTTGTTTAGTTTTTTTTTTTTTTTTTTTTTTTTTTGGTCAACAAATTTCTGAGTTGGATTTTTTTTTGACTGGATTAGAACCCCTGGAAAAAAATTCCTGGATCCTCGCCTTTCGCCCATCTTCTTTCTGCATAATCTATCTTGAAATATTCACAATTCCATGTCTTTTCTGAGAGTATGAAATTGAACTTGCGCTTTAAATTGGTTTATCTCGAAGACAATGTCCTCAGTATTCCATCTACTTCACAAAATCTTCAGACAAGATCATGAACTTGACATCTTAAGCGAAAATCTTACTGAAGTCTAAATCTCTTTCATGATCCCGGGCCAGGGCATATATGGATCATGCAGGAATTTTTCAAAGGGGGGGGGGGTCGGGGGTCATATCAATTCTATGATAAATGTCAATGGGATTTTTTGAAAAGAAAAGCAGTTGTAAACAAACTGTTTAGAATAAATTTCGTTATTTTTACACAGCAATTTAATTACTGAAATTCAAGGGGCGGTCGAGGGGGGTGGTGGGGTGGTGGTCTCGGATTCCCCTTTTGACCATTGCATGCAGAAAATAAACTTTTAATAAATATATTTAAGAAGGAAGCTTTTCCTTTAAACTGCAAATAAAGATTCCCTTTCCTTTTTTACATATTGTTTTTTTCCGCAGTATTTGTGCTCCACTGACCACCATAGATCACGTGACTGGACCTAATTTCGTCATACTGAGATTGAGATTTGACTCGATAGCAGTATTTTGCATTTTGCTTCTGCAAAAAGCCATTCCTAGCGCTCATTCAAAGCTTTCATACACTTCAACGGATACAGGAGAAGACTACTTTCAACTGAGGTAAGTTTATGATACTTGCAATAATCGATTTATGACTCGAAACAACTTTTTTGTTGAAAACGTAATACGGCGGTAACTCGAACATTTCCCGCCGCCATTTCAGATTACTGTCAAGCAAAATCACTGCGTAAGATTGGTTTATAG